TATATATATATATATATATATATATATACTGCACATATTCATTCATCTGCTAACGGGGACAGATAGAACAGAACACCAACGCAGATGCACGGGCACCCATCTGCGTAGGGGCAGTTTGAATTACATCGGCAACATACGGCAAGTACAAACGAAGAACCGGAAAATAACACAGCAGAGAGGAAACACACATCACAAACAGAGAGGGAAATAACAAGGCGAAAGTAGAAAGCGGAAGGACAGGGTAGCGGAGCTTAGCCACAATTGTAGGCATAAACCCAAAGGCACACAGGCACACTAGGGCCAGCGCAGATAGGGGGAGACAAAGGTAGACAGAAGGAAAACAAGGCGAGACATGTGGTGACCGCATGATGTGGAAGAGAGAGGCGAGGAGACACCCAGGAAGCTGGACAGACAGACACGATGACAAAGGGTTACAGACAGAGGAGTGAGAGGAACAAAAAGAAAAAAGGAACGAAGGGAAGAGACCGTGAAACACCGACAAAGGCAAGGAACGATGGAAATACACACAAACGGACAAGGTGAAGAAAAGAATATGGAATGGGTGTCATCACACCTCAAGGCCCAGGCCTTTGACTGGAGTTTGCGGTCATCCAGCAGCTTCTTCGATTGTGGTGCAGGCACCTCGACCTTAGGCTGCAGCTGCCCTACGGTGTATATACAGCAGTTCTCAGCGCTCCCCAACACGGTTGCTCTGCTGTTGCTGCTGCTGTAGCTGCTGAAGCAAGTCGGGTAGGCAGAAATGGCTTGCGGTGGAAACACCATAGGCCTCAAGAAGTGCTGCACCAGCAGGAGCGCACAATACAACACAAATGATGTTAGACTTCATCCGCTTGTTGATTCGGATGTGAATGAGTGACAGAACTGGGCGCCTGTTTAGTGTATCAACCGCACAAGCATTGGTGTTGAATGCTTTTGACGTGTCTCAGCTGCTCGAGGAGAGTTGTATGGCATGCTGTACTCGTGTATCGTGCTCAGTGGTGTGTCCAACACAGCGTTTTTATGTTGGTTCAGCGTCTGTTAAGATATCGAAGCAGATACACGGAACGGGAAACGCCTATTCGAGAGTATGCTGGGCTTTCGCTGCCCTGCCCACGAATATGCGCCGCTGGTTGCATGCAACTTCTGTTCGGTGATCTGAGCAGCGTCTGTCCGTCAGAGTATGAACAGCAGACTAACTTTCCATCCGTCTTTCGTCTTTCTGCGGATGAGAAGGAAATCGCCTCTTCGGGGGTCGTTGAAGCGGCCCTCCTCCTTCAGAGGCGACATTGGGTTTTGAGGATGCGGGAACAACAGGGCCGTAAACAGAGGACAGTCCACCACTGCCTGCCCCTCTCCTGCACAGCAGCATCAGCAGGAGCAGTTGCTGCACTGCAGCGGATAGGGCGATGACACAGGAAACCGCCCAAGCAGCAATGGCGCAAGCTGCTCCCACATCAGGCAGAGCATCCGACAAATGTAGTAGCAGCAGCAGTTGCACACGAGACGTGCCTGGTTCAAGAGGAATGTATGTCCCAAAAATTGTAGGCGCCTTTTCGTTTCGTTCCACCAAACGCAAACCTCCGAAAGTACCTAGAGACCCCTGCATCAGCAACAGCAGCCGTAATAGTGGGAAGGGAGGCCGACGTCATCGTAAAACGCAATAGCAGCCGTAAGAAAAGGCGCAGCTGCCGCAGCATCAGCATCACGCTAGAAGCAGCCGCAAACCCCGCAGCAGGATGTGGCGCCCCTGGGGTGTACCTGGAGTCTTTCTTCCTCTCTGCGTATTGCATCTTCATTGCTGCTGCTGCTGCCGGCGTGTGTAGCCTGCAGCGGCCGGACATATCGGCGGATTCGGATGGCCATGCCAGCGTTATTAATGATGAAGGGCTGCTGTTCCGTGTGCTCGAATACGACAAAAGGGCAGTCATCGCTCAGCGTCAAATCACCAGCATCGTGGAAACAGACACTTGGGTGCTGCGCAGAAGAGGAAGAATCCTCAAAACCTGAAGATCCCCCAAAGGCCACTGACTCCGCGTTGCGCCGCAACACCTCGCTGCTGAAAGGTGGCCTGCGGATGCAGTAGACATCGGAGAAAATGAAAGACGCAAATTGGAGTGAAGAAAGTGCGAAAACGGCGAATGAAATCACTGTAAATCAGTACACAAACTGAAAACAACACAACGAGAAGCAACAACATCAACGTTGCACACAACAGGCTGAGAAGCAACAAAATCAACGACGGACACACAAGATCAACTTAAATAACGCCATGCTAGCTGGTCCACAGAAAGCCAGACGCAATTGAGCCAGGGCACATCAAATGAGACCACAAGTGTCGCGGAAAAGAGCAAAAAGGGCCTGGATACAGATGCCACTAAATAGGAAAAACAGAACGGACTCGTCAGGGGGCCGAAGGAGCACAGGACATGGCACAGGGAGGGAAGGCGAGGACAACAGAGGGAGCAAGAAGGGGCGGAGGCAGACAAAAAACAGGAAACAGATCGAAGACAGGCAAGCGTGTACAGAAACCGAGAGAGCAAGGCTAAGGACAACATGAAGGAGAAAGACAAACAGGACAAAGACCGACCCCACGGTGCCAACGAAAACAAGTGAGGAGTAGGGCAGACAGAGCAAAGGTTCACGGATACACGAAAAGGGGAGGAAACAGGCAGAAGCAGACTGCTGAAGGGGCACTCACAAGACAATCCACGGTCTGTCTGCATTATTAGCCGAAGACCGTTTCCTTGAAATATTCGCGAAAGACATCCGCAAATCCGGACGATGAAATCGAAACATCGCAACCCGCGCCCGACGCCCAGCCACCGGAGACGCCCCGTACAGCTGCAGCGCCGTTTTCGCATGCAGCAGCGGAGCCCCCCCTGCAGCAGCAGTAGCACGAACCGAGGCAGTAAGAGGAGAAGAAACAGTGGAAACCGTCGGAGCAGGACAGGCTGCTGCGCACCACCAGTATGAGCAGAGGTTCGGTGTAGCAACTGCTACACGAGCAAGGGCAGCAGGAAAGGCACCAAGCCTACTGGCAACAGCACAAATAGCACATGGCAGAGAGAGTATGTGGGTGGAGACTTGCCTCTAGCCGTTTGTGTGAATTCGCGTTGGTGAATTTGCCTTTTTGCGTAGTCCCCATCGAAAGAGACATTCAAGTGGCGCAGCAGCTGCGTCTGAGCCCCTCCACCAAACTCTGCTGCAGTCAGCAGGAATTCTTGCAGCGGATTCCGCATGTGAAATTCCCGCCGGAGGTCCTGCAGCAGAAACTCAAGGGAAAGGAGGAGATATTTCTGGCTGCCTTTCAAGACAAACCCCACAACCACAAACACACCCTCAACTCAAGCATTACCCCAAAACATATTCACCCCACAACACACCGCCTTATAACCCAAACGCCTACACCACATAACGCATGCAACTCCATAAAAATGCATTTAGGGCTTAGGTGCACAAGCTAATGCCAATGGATATACACTGGTGGAAAGAACGTTGCCCAAGCAAACAAGACTGGAAATGCAATACATCCATTCACGAAATTTCAGGAGGGAACGCACAAAGGGGTTAACGAGAAATATCCACATCAACAAAGCTCCGAAGGCAGTAAACAGCAGCAACAGAGGCAGCCAGACCAACGGAGAAATAGCCTCAGCACCACTACCCACAGCAGCAGCAGAAGCTGTAACGAAAACGAAAGCAGCAACGGGAACAGCAACGCAAAGCAGCACTAACATCACCAGACCGAGGAACTCTAGCAGTAGCAGCGGCAGTAGCACGAGCTACTGCAGCGACGCGTCTTACTTCTGCTGCAGCTAAGGCCCTGAGTTCATACGCGCTTTTCCCCTGCTTCACCAATTCAATTCTCCTCTGTTTGTCAATCTTTAGCACCTCTTGCTTGGCTCGCCTCCGCATCTTCTGCAACTGAGCCCTGCTTGGGCCAGTTCCTTCTGCTGTTGCTGCTGCGGCTGCTGCTACTTCGCTCCCCACACCCGGGCCACCGGCCCCTACCTTGAGCCCACTGGCTCCGCCTCCGCCGCCCGCTCCTAGGGGAGTCCCCGCCAAATCTTCTCCCTCCTCATGACCCAACTGTATCAACAGCACCGTAGCAGTGCAAGCACACGCATATTCCTTGGATGGCAAGAGGAATGGAGAGTGCAATTCAACAATGCAGCACATTTGTGTCCGTGACTTGCCCTAAACCCTAGAACTTGCATCTAAACCCTAGACCCTCAACATCAAATGCACACCTCCATGCTCGCGGCCATTGAAGCAGAGCTATCATTAAGGTCGAGAAAAAAGCAGCGCAGAAGCTGCTGTCGTCGCTGCACCAGCCGCTGCTGTTGCAGCTTTGCTGCCCATATACTGGCCCACTCGAAGACCAGGCCTGAGCAGCGGTCCCGATCACTGCTACTGCTATCGTTTTGAAGGGCAGAATGCCGTCTGCGCCGGTCGATCCCGTCTTGGAGCCGCAGCAGCCGCTGCTGCTGCTGTTGCTGCGGCAGCTGGAGGAGTACTTGCGGTTGCGGTCGCTGAGAAGCAGCGGCGGCGCCAATGCTGGGGGCAATGACAGTTGAAAATGGGCTCAGATAGCACACAGAAGGCGTCGCCAGAAGCAACAGCAAAAACCGTTGCCCTTGCTGCTGATGGAGCAGTACTTGCGTCTCCCTAAACGAAAGAGCCAGCTGCTGCTGCTGCTGCACGCCCGACTTGTTGCTGCAGAAACGCAGAAAGAACACGACAAACAATAAGTTCAGAGTCAGTGAAGAGAGGGTCGACCTTTAGCGGGGTTCACGGATTAGGGCTCTCCGTCAGGGATTTACACGGCTCACTGTACAGCGGCTGTCGCACTCCTCTCCAACTCCGCCAAAAGATCTCTACGCGTTGCTGCTTCCTCTTCCGCTGCTGCTGCTGCCGCCGCTGCTGCCCTTTCTCGCTGCCTCTCTGGATCGCGGCCCCCTTCTAGGTGCTCCGCTGCTCCATCTGCTGTTGTTTCACCTGCTGCTCCTCCTACTGCGTCGCTTTCCTTCCACGCCAGAGCGGCAAAACCCTGGGCCAGCACAAAGCTGCTGCTTCCTGGAAGTTCACCCCACAGCATGCCTTGGACAAATGCGTTCTCTGCTGTTGCAGCAGCTGCTGCTGCCACCGCCTCGGCTTCTGCCGCTGCTGCACCAGGTGGCCCTCGAGGCACCCCTGCAGCAACTGACGCTCCTGCTCCAGCGGCTACAGCTCCTTCTCCAGCAACTCCCAGAGAATGCGTCCGCATTCCGTGAAGTTGCTGCTGTTGCCGTTGTGGGTGGCGCTCAGCACCAGCTGCAGCGGCAGCGTGTGGGTCGTCTACATCCACATCGTCGAATTCAAATTCTTGATCTAAATCTCCCGTTGCTTGCTGCACTGAAGGCTGTCGGTGCTGTTGCTGCTGCTGTACTGCCGAACGGCGCCCACCCTGATTGTAACCGTCACGTTGCATCGAATGGGCCTCTGATGTAACAGCAGGCATTCTGGGCGTTGCCGCTGCTGTTGTTGTTGCTGCAGGGGTTTCAGGGGAGTCAGGCAGTGCGAAAAGCGCATAGTCCTCAGCACCATTGTTTGCAGTTGCTGCTACTGGCGTCGCTGTTTCCGTTGCTGCTGCCGTGGCTTCTTCGGCGGCAGCATCCGCTACAACACTCTCTAAAGCATCTTCTAAAGCGTTATCCAGCTCCCATTCCTCATCCGCGTCGGCTCCCTGATTTACTTCTGCCATTGCTGGTGTCTCCCCTGCTGCTGTTGTCGTTGCTATCTTTACTGCTGATGTTGCTGGCGCTGCTTCTGTTGTGGTTTCTGTTGCGGCTGCTGCTGCTTTAATGTCCTGCCGATTGCCTGTTTTCTCGTTGTCTGGAGCGGCTGTTGCATCGTTACTGCCATCCCAGCCCCCGTTGTGTTCGGTAGCAGCCGAAACTGCTGTTTCAGCTGCAGCTGTTGTTACGGCATCGCCGGTGTGTACGCCAACGGCGGCGCTGTCACTAGCAGCTGCCACAACAGCTCCTTGTCTTGCCGCTGGTGTTACTGTTGCTGCTTCACCGTCTTCTGTATCGCTGTCAACCTCCTCAATCCCCACGCGGCAGTTTTCCAAGTGGCAGAAGCTGCAGCAGCAGCTGCTGCTACCGCAGCCTCTACCCCTTCTCGTCCCTCCTGGTAGAAAGCAGCAGCAAAACGGCATCCCCAGCGAACCCAACGTAAAGCCATGCTGTCCCTGTTGTTGCTGCTGCTGCCAAGCGTTGTAAGGAAAGATGTCATCAGGGTTATTGAGCATTGCCGCACACAGCCAACTGCCGCTGCTGCTGGCACTGCTACTGCCCGGGCACTGTTGTTCTTGGACATGCTGCTGTTGCCGCAGCAGCAACTCAGCCTCTACAGCAGACGCCTGCTGCTGGAGCGCCCGAAGGCTGGAGGCAAGCTGCAACAGCAGCAACGGTACCTGCCTTTGAAGATGAGGCGGTAGCACCAGCAACAGCTTCGTGCTCTCCTCTACTTCCGGCGGTAAGTCCGTAACTGGCTGTTGTTGCTGGTGCGACTGCTGCTGCGATCCCCGCACTAACTGCCCCAGAAGAATGCAGTTGTTGCTGCTCTGCCGCTTCTGCTGCAGCAGCCAGCTGCGTTCAGAGATCCACAGAACGTCGCTACTGCTGCTGCTTCTGAACGCGGAAGCTCCCGAAGTGATGCTGGTATTGCTCTGCAGGAGATGAATCGGTAGGTTCTGTAAGCACCGTCCCCTTGGTGGTGCTGCTGCCTTCGCTGCTGTGTTACCGGCGACAGAAAGGCAACTGACGGTAGGCAGCAGCAATGGCAGCACCGAGCCGACAACTGAAAAACAGTCTGCAGCAGCACACAAGACCCCAAACCCAAACTGCAAGGTTTCACAACTTATAGCCTAATTCCGGACCCCTTAGCCCCAAAACATAAAACCTAGAACCTCAACACACTGGAGGAGAGTAGGCTGATATGGGAAAGAATATCACGGCCTTCAGAAATACTTAGGGTTTATGGTTTACGCTCTAGTGTTTGAAACCTGGGGGCAGCTGGAGGGAAACTTGGGCATCGAGGGGATAAGACAGGAAGAAAAACTCCGCGTGCATGTTATCGATCCAGCTGCTGCAACCTCCCTTCAGAAAAAGCTGCTGGTGCTGCCTCCTGCGGGCTGCTGCTGTTGCGGCTAGGATTCTACTCCTTCTGTTTCTCCTGTTGCTCTCGTCTGCAGCAGGAGCCGCGGTTGCTTCGGGTGCAGTTGGTGCCTCATCTCCTGCAACTTCTGCTCCCACCGCCGTTGCCTCGCTAGCTTTGCTTCCACTGCTCCTGCTGCTCCATATGGAAGCTTGATTGAGACTCTGAGTCTTGAAGACACACAGGGTCGGCTCTGTCCTGGCAAAGGGGGGGCGACTTGCTGCAGCAGCAGCAGCCGCTGCAGCAGCTGCTGCTGTTGCTGCTGCTGGGCACTCTTCAGGGTAGAGGTAATCCAAGATATGGCGCGTGTTACTGAGATTGAAGCCATTGCTACTGTTACTGCTGTTGTTGCTGCGCGGGTCCGAGGGAGAGGCCCTCGAGGCGCCCACTCCTCGAGTCCGGCGGGACTCCGCCAGCATTGGCGTCCTTGTTGCCTCGACCGGTATTAGCTGTAAAGATGCTCATGCTGGTGCGCCGTTGCTGTTGCTGCCGCCGCTGTTGCGGCTGCTGCTCTTGCAGCCGACGCAAAACTACTTGCCGCGGCTTTCGTGGCGAGAGCTGCCGCAGCCGCTGTTGCCGCTGTCGCAGTGTCTGCTGATTGTGCTCTATCTTACATAAAGGCGAAGTGGGGTTGCCCCTGAAGAACCGATTGGGCCAGGAACACGAAAGCCAATATTCTAAACCCAAAGCGCGCTGATTACCGTGCCCATGAATGGCATAGCCTGGGCTCCGGCCACTTCCTGCTGACAATGGAACAACAACATAGGAGGAGGCAAGAAAAGGAGCAGCAGTTACTGCTGCTCCAGGAATAGCAGAAGAAACAGCAGCAGCAACAGGAACTTGAGCGAGGGCCCCAGGGCCCCCTACCTCCTCTCTTGTGGAGTGGACTGGGCAGTAGACTGGCTAGAGCTGCATAAAAAGTCGTCAGCCTAAGAAATAAAGTATAAAATCCAGGTTTAGGATCTATGAAGTTTGGGGATTAAAGCTGATGGTTTAGGACCAGGGGTCTAGTGCTTGGGACCTTTGGTTCGAAGCCGTGTGGCAGTGAACATCCCGATTTGGGCGGATACACCTAAGCTGTAATCCATAAATTCTGAAACCTTCAGAGACTAGCGAATTCATATATTCTGCCGGCTTCAAGTTGAGCCGTAAACCCTAAGCCCTAGACCTAAACCCTGAATCCTCGAGCGCGCTGGCGTAGCGTTGCGTTGTTATATCTACTCGGAGGTGTACATGCATCGAATTGGCTTCTGATGTTTTGCTTCTAGTAGATATAGTTAGCAAGAGAAACTATTCACATGAAGCAGTTGCAAACATTGTCGGCGTGTTCTTTTTTCGTCGTCCAGTGTCTCAGGTTGGTGCTGCTCTGCTGCTGATGGCACTGCACTGCATCCCCCCTGTCTTCACCTCTCTTCTCGTTAGCCTTCTTGTCTCCCAGGATCCCACTTCTGTCCTGCTACTGCTACTGCATTTCAGTGCTTATCTCTTTCATCTTCCTTCCCTGCGGCGGCCTATCGGTGTTATGCTGCTGCTCTATGTGACGCTTGCCCCCGTTTACTTACCATCGTCTTAAGTATGAATTTACGTTGTCTGCTCGTTTGCCTGTTTCATCCGTTAAGCATTGGCCTCATCGCCATTTCCCCACAAGTGCAGACGACCTAGGGCCCATGGGGATCATGAGCATTCCCAGTCTATCCCGTTTCGAACCTCCACTTTCTACCGTACCATTCATAGAAGCTGAACTCTAAAGCCGTGCGGACTCAGTAAGGATCTGCATGCCAGTGCCCACCATCCCGCTAAAACATAGATCGCAAATCCAGGGTGCTGCAGCTGCATGATGCAGAAGCCACCAAGGAGACTTCCGGGACCCAAGCCCATTTGGTTATAAGGTTGCATACAGTCTCCAGAATGACGGGCTGGATTTAACATTCGTTAGGGCTCCCATTAAAAGACGAACAATCTCCGTGTAAAGCCCTTTTGTCCGTTCGTGAGTTGCACGCACAGCAAAAGATTCTCAAATATGCAGGTCCTCAGATGTGCAAACAACTCCTACACACATCATCTTTTTCTCGCCTACCTATACGGCGATTAAGATAGAACAAAAAACTGAGGAAAAAATAATTGAGGTGTATGAATACCCTCTGTGTGCAGGCCGCCTTTCGCCTGCAATGAATATATTTGAAACGTACGCGTATGTACAATTTATGTATTTTAACTGTAGTGTGTGAAAGTCTCAGAGAAGCCAAGTGGCTAATTCATGTCTTACATCCTCCCAGAAACCTGCTGCTGCTGCAGCCTCAACTGCTCCACCTGGTGGAGTTCTTGCTGCTGCGGTTGATGCTCGTGAGGTTGCTCCTTCTCAGGTAGCAGAGGATGAGAGGTATGGCTGTTTGATGAATTATTCTTGTCCAATGCGTCGAAAGGGATCTTGCAGAAAGCCTCCGTCCCCGTAACCCACCTGAACCCCAGAACAGACTGCTGTAGAAGCAGCCCATACACCCCCTGACAAACAATGCAACTCAAAATACACCTCAAACATGTGAATCCAAAGTTGGAAGCAAAAGCAAAGAAGTGAAAGGCACAAGCAGCAGGACCGGCTGTCTTAGCAGCAGCGGACCCGGCAGTACCAGCAACGGTAGAAGGGCCAGCAGCCGCAGTCTCAGTAGGAGCTCACATAATCACTTGTGTATGCAGCAAGAGGGCCATCAGATGAGAGGATGTAAGGCCAACCTGAGAACACGCAAAACCTAAGGCGTAAACGCTTAACCCGACTGAAGCAACGGGCCCAAAACGGCACTACAGGCACACACATATACGCATATTTATATAGAAAAATGCATACATATAAGTATAGAAATAAACAAAAAAGGCGCATCAACCGACGAGAAATGCATTATATATATAATATATA